CAAGATAGATTAGAGAACACAAGAGGACCATCTGGGACTCCATGGTTTGGCTCTTACAGTGCCTGAGATGTTTACACTTGATATTTGGTTGGCAAAAGTCTAGAACTCCTAGCCCGTTTGGGGTTTGTGCCCTACCTCATAAGAGTGCCTGGAGGCTGGTGTTCATGCTCCTGAGCCATTGTATGGCGACAGGACATATGGCATTTTGACTATTTGGTCATGCCATTTGGTGTGCCCCACCTACCTTTCATCACTTCATGAATGACAATTTTCAAAACATCCTCAACTAATTCATGTAATCTATTTAGATGATAATCTAATGTTTTTTAGAGACTCAAGAACCCCATGACCACCCACTGTGCACTGTTAGAGCAATGCAGCAACTTGGCCAACATCAAATTTGCTGGACCATTTTTCTCTCCAAATTTGATGTCATGGTTACTTACTAAGAACGGGAGGGCAGATGCTTCGTCATACAAGGATGAGTAGCATGAGGGGGAGCAGGAAGCTTTCACCACTGTTCTTATACCCTCCCACTTTTGTCAGTGGAACCCTCACTGGTTCACCTGATGATCTCTATCTGTCCCTGGCCTCCACGTTACTTGTTTGCAGTTCGAATCTGCTGAACTGTAAGAGCCACCAGTGCTTCCCCAGGTTGCAAGTTTTATCTGCAATACAACCCCTTTTATTGCAGGGATTATCTCTACATGACTGAGGGCAGATCCTGGCTTCAGGTGCTAAAGTTATGCTAAGACTGGACATTTCAGCCGGTTTTAAACCTGGACCCTGATCACTGGGGCTACGTCTACACTGGCATGAATTTCCGAAAATGATTTTAACTGAAAAGTTTTTCGTTAAAAGCATTTTCGGAAAAGCGCGTCTAGATTGACAGGATGCTTTTCCGCAAAAGCACTTTTTGCGGAAAAGTGTCCGTGGCCAATCTAGATGCAGTTTTCCGCAAAAAAGCCCCGATCGCCATTTTCACGATCGGGGCTTTTTTTGCGGAAAACAATACTATGCTGTATACACTGGCCCTTTTGAGCAAAAGTCTTTCGGAAAAAGACTTTTGCCTGAACAGGAGCAGCATAGTTTTTTCGGAAAAGCACTGATGATTTTACATGAGATCGTCAGTGCTTTTCCAGAAATTCAAGTGGCCAGTTGTAGACAGCTGGCAAGTTTTTCCAGAAAAGCTGCTGATTTTCTGGAAAAACTGGCCAGTCTAGACACAGCCTGCATGTGTCTGATGGCCAGTCTTATGAACTGACATTAAAAGTAATGCTAGGTTATGCAACCTGTGTGCCCATAGGAAGAAACCTTGAGCCTGTGGACTTCCTTCCTCCCCTCCCCACACCTCCATGGCCTTGCTCCACTATCTCAATGGACTTTTTTTATTGTAGAGTTACTTTGCTCCCGAGTGCATACAATCATCTTCACCATGGTAGACCTCCTAACCAAGCGGCCTCATTTTATTCCCCAACATGCAATGCCTTCTTTGACTTCATTCTGAGTCATGGCTTTGCTCCAGTAGCTTGTCTCCTGGTCATGACTGCAGTTCTTTTCTCTGATTCTACTCTGCCTACTAGGTCTGCTCCATCTGCTAGGTTGTACTGCTGGGATCCCAGCGTGTAATGTGGGGTTCTGATGCCAGCAGGGTGGTGGTGAGGGCCATTGCTGCTCATAGTGGACTGCTGTGCTCACATTGAGGGGGCTCTGATGCCAGCGGGGGGGAGGCACAGAGGTCAAGGCCCCACTGACAGTGTTCCCTGTAAGCTGAGCACTTGAGTGGCCACCCAGGAGAAATTCAAATATGGCCAGCTGATTAGCAGAGTGCCCACTGCTGGCAGCCTGTGTTTCTATTGGTGGTGAACATCTGCACATGCCTCTGCACACAACAAAATGTATTCTACGTATGGGTGGAAAAAATTAGGTGGAACACGCCCCACTGATGCTGGTGGTGCACTGCTGTGGTTGGGATGGGGGCTCTGACATCCATGGGAGGTGCTGTGCTCAGGGTGAAGGCTGCAATGCCAATAAAATGTTGCTAAGCCGTTTCCTGCAGTGGTTTTCCAAGCTCACTGCTTCCAGGACACTGTAGCACCTCTCCCCGCCCACCATTGTACAGAGCTGGGGCTGAAGGTCCTGCAGAGGGGGCAGAGCTGCTAGAAGCCAGGCAGAGGCCTGCATGCCCAGAGCCTGGAGCCACCCCATTGGGAATAGCCAGATGAGGTGCTGGGGCCCACTAGAGGAACAGAGAGGGGGCAGAACACTGGCTCCATCTCCAGCCTCACCCACTAAAGGGTGCCCCTCCTGGGCAGGGCATTGTGCACCAGGACTGGGGGGGGGCAATGTTGGAGCTCAGAAGGGGAAGATGTGGGGGGACAGCTCCCCTGATAACAGACTCTTGGCCTTCTATAAAAACACCTTTATTTATAATACAAAATCCACGTGCGGTGGTGCTGGTGCCACAGTGCTGGAGCCCCCGGGCCAGGCCCCATGGCAGCGATGGGGAGGCAGGGGTGGGCGGTGCCCAGGGATCACCAAGGCATGGTGACCCACAGAACCAAATGGCCCAGAGCAGACATGGAGGAATGCAATAGAAGGCCCAAGGAAGGGGCACGGGAGCAGGGAAATGAACAGCAGAGTCCCAGGCCCAGCTCTGACCCTCTCAGCTCACCACCACCACTGGCCCAGGGAGGCCAGCTCCCATCCCCCCCACTGATCCCCAGGCCCAGAGGTTCTGGCTCCAACCTTCCCACCCCAAGCCAGGGACCCAGCTCCCATACTCTCACCCCTTCCCTTTCCATGCCAGGGCCACTGGCTCCGATTCTCACTTCTCACTCACAGGCCTAGACCAGGAGTCCAGCTCCACCCTCCTCTGACCCCCCCGCCCCACACTGAGCCCCAGTGCAGTGGGGCCAGCTGAGACCCTCTTCCCCTGTGGGGCAGCCCTTACCTTCTCCCCAAGGCTATCATAAGCCCCAGGTTGGGGGCTGCCCTGCTCCTATTGGTTCCCTACCCGGAGCCCCATGTGGGGAGGGGGACAGCTATGAAACTGTTCCTCTGCCCCTGTGCCCATGAGGGTGGAGGCAACTCTGACCTTGCCCCCTGCGCCTCACGCCAAGGGGGCTGGCTTTGAGCCTCATCACCAAAAGTGGGCTGGGAAGCTCTCTTATGCTAATGGCCCCCACCCCACCCCAGGGACCCAGCTTTGATCCTCTTGCCTTCTCCCCTCACAACCCTACACTAGGGGCAGGAGTGCTCTGAGGCCTCTCCTCCCTGGGTCTCCACAGTGCCATGCCCAAGGGGCGGTCTCCTTGCTCCCCATCTCACCAGAGCAGGCTCTTGCTAGAAGACAAGAGTCATGCTCCCCCGTGTCTGCGCCCCGTGATGCAAGTAGAGGGTCGGTGCCTACAGGCTCCGAGCCCAGTAGGATGCCCACCCTAAGGGGAACAGGGAGTCCCCATGCTCAGTTGTACTCCATCAGGCTGAGGGTGGGGCGAGGGCCCCGGATCCCCTGCTCCCGAAAGGCGATCCTTGTGCAGGGGAGTTCTCGTGCTGGGATGGGCAATGTGGCAGCGTGATCGGGGGGGCAGGGCCATGCTGCTGGGGGTGTGGCTGCAGCTGCCCCCGGCTCAGTCCCAGCCGTTGTCCTTCACCATGTGTGACATCTCAATGATGAACTTCCCCTCCTTGTACTTCTGGCTGGTCTCGAAGGCTTGTTCCTGGCCGAGGGGAGAGAGAACAGCGCCTCTGAGCTGGCCCCCTCCTCTAGGGCATGCTGTTCTCTCCAGCAGGGGGCGCTGTGAGCCCAGGGAGGGGAAGGAGTCTGCCTGCCCCGGGGGGAGGCTGTGAGCCCAGGGAGTGGAAGGAGTCTGCCCAGCAGGGTGGGGCTGTGAGACCAGGGAGGGGGCCCGGCCTGTACTGCCCAGCCCTGCTGCCCCAGTAGGGGGCACTATGATGGGGGATTCCTGTAGGGCTGGGGCACTACTCACATATTTCCACCCCAGGGTGGTCTTGCAGCTCTCACAGAAAATGTCAGCCACAGAGTGGAGCCCGGTGAGCAGGAGGCGCTGTTCAGCTGGCCCGCAGCCCACGTTAACCCTGGCACCAGAAAGAGGAGCAACATGGGACGAGGTCACACACTGCCTTCCGCTCCCAACTCCCCGCACACCCTCCCTGTGTGTGTGTGTGTGGGGGGGGGTGGTCTGGAATTCAGTGGCCAGTATCCTAGCAAACATACACCCCGTGCAAGACTAGACGGAGCAGGCTTGGCTCCCAGGCACTCTGTGATCGAAGCAAAGGAGCTCAGCCCTTCCTGTGTGCTGGGGCTGAGCTCCATACACAGCTGTGCTCTCCTGCGAGGTACCTGCAGCCAGAGCAGCCTCACACATTCAGGCACGGGTGTCTTTTAACTGTTGCCTGGCTTTGAGCCAATATCAGGTTCTATTTACTAAGCTGGCAGCCTTAGGGACCCCGTGCCCCAGCTTTTCTCCCCCGCAGGAACTCCTGAGACAGTGGGATCCTCACACTCCCAGGGCTCCAGAAGTTAAAAGAAACAATTGTGCAACTTGGTGATGCTACAGTGAGGGGGAGGGCTGAGCTGGTGTCTGTGTTCAGGGCTTGCCCAAGTGGGTAAAGAGAGACCCAGGAGTCTTGCAGGGGGACAGTCAGCAGGGCAGAGGCTGGGATGGGCTCCATGGAGAATCAGAGGGGCGGGCGGGGCAGAAGCTGTGGGGATCTGAGAGCAGCTACCGTCTCAGTCCTCACTCATTCCCCCCCTCCCCATGCCTGCCTTTCTGCCCCTCCTCACACACCTGTGCCTCTTCAGGGAAAGCACAGAGAGCTGGAGAGGATCTCAAATAAGCTCCAGGCTGTGTCCCTGTGGGGCAGCTGGGACTGGCTCTGGCCAGCTTCCTGGGGGATCCCAAGGAGATTGGTATGGCCCTATTGCCACTCTCCCTAGATACTGTGCCTGCCCCATGGGCCTAGTCAGGCTCCCGTCTCAGTCCCAGCCGTTGTCCTTCACCATGTGTGACATCTCAATGATGAACTTCCCCTCCTTGTACTTCTGGCTGGTCTCGAAGGCTTGTTCCTGGCCGAGGGGAGAGAGAACAGCGCCTCTGAGCTGGCCCCCTCCTCTAGGGCATGCTGTTCTCTCCAGCAGGGGGCGCTGTGAGCCCAGGGAGGGGAAGGAGTCTGCCTGCCCCGGGGGGAGGCTGTGAGCCCAGGGAGTGGAAGGAGTCTGCCCAGCAGGGTGGGGCTGTGAGACCAGGGAGGGGGCCCGGCCTGTACTGCCCAGCCCTGCTGCCCCAGTAGGGGGCACTATGATGGGGGATTCCTGTAGGGCTGGGGCACTACTCACATATTTCCACCCCAGGGTGGTCTTGCAGCTCTCACAGAAAATGTCAGCCACAGAGTGGAGCCCGGTGAGCAGGAGGCGCTGTTCAGCTGGCCCGCAGCCCACGTTAACCCTGGCACCAGAAAGAGGAGCAACATGGGACGAGGTCACACACTGCCTCCCGCTCCCAGCTCCCAGCTCCCCAAAAGAGGAGCAACATGGGACGAGGTCACACACTGCCTTCCGCTCCCAACTCCCCGCACACCCTCCCTGTGTGTGTGTGTGTGGGGGGGGTGGTCTGGAATTCAGTGGCCAGTATCCTAGCAAACATACACCCCGTGCAAGACTAGACGGAGCAGGCTTGGCTCCCAGGCACTCTGTGATCGAAGCAAAGGAGCTCAGCCCTTCCTGTGTGCTGGGGCTGAGCTCCATACACAGCTGTGCTCTCCTGCGAGGTACCTGCAGCCAGAGCAGCCTCACACATTCAGGCACGGGTGTCTTTTAACTGTTGCCTGGCTTTGAGCCAATATCAGGTTCTATTTACTAAGCTGGCAGCCTTAGGGACCCCGTGCCCCAGCTTTTCTCCCCCGCAGGAACTCCTGAGACAGTGGGATCCTCACACTCCCAGGGCTCCAGAAGTTAAAAGAAACAATTGTGCAACTTGGTGATGCTACAGTGAGGGGGAGGGCTGAGCTGGTGTCTGTGTTCAGGGCTTGCCCAAGTGGGTAAAGAGAGACCCAGGAGTCTTGCAGGGGGACAGTCAGCAGGGCAGAGGCTGGGATGGGCTCCATGGAGAATCAGAGGGGCGGGCGGGGCAGAAGCTGTGGGGATCTGAGAGCAGCTACCGTCTCAGTCCTCACTCATTCCCCCCCTCCCCATGCCTGCCTTTCTGCCCCTCCTCACACACCTGTGCCTCTTCAGGGAAAGCACAGAGAGCTGGAGAGGATCTCAAATAAGCTCCAGGCTGTGTCCCTGTGGGGCAGCTGGGACTGGCTCTGGCCAGCTTCCTGGGGGATCCCAAGGAGATTGGTATGGCCCTATTGCCACTCTCCCTAGATACTGTGCCTGCCCCATGGGCCTAGTCAGGCTCCCATGCTCCCCACTGCAATCTGGTGACCTTCTCCATAACCACAGCTATGCATCACAAACCTGACCCACTATGCATGGTGCCCTAGAGACCCTCAGATAGCAGCCAGCATTGGCATGCTCCAAGGGCAAGAGAGCCCTGCTGCCCCCACTGTGGCCTGCCCATCCCAGCCACCTGTCATCTGACCCATCTTAGCTGCCACGCTGGGGTCTCTGGCAAGAGGCAGGCTTGCCAGACAGCTGCTGCTGCAGCCAGAGCTGTGCCCACCAGCTCAACCATGAAGGGATCAAGCCACAGTCCAGCTTGGACAGCTGATCCAGGCTGAAGAGTGACCATTCCCCACCTCACTGAGTCAGACACTAGCAAGGATGAGCAACCGTGGAAGTGTGGCTCAGGGATGTGGGACAGAGCCGATGCTCACTGATACATTTGGGATGCTGCAGCCCCTCATGGCTTCATGTAGATCCTGTGTGGGAAGGAGGCACTGCCTAGCCCTGGTGCAACAGACTCTGGGGAGTAGCGGAGCTCCATCTGGGAAGAAGCAAACTCAAGGTCTCTCCAGCTATCAGTCAAACACTAGCATGTGTGACATTGATCAGTGGTAAGAGCTGCTCTTAGATCTAGTGGCATCACTAGGAGTCTCTACTCCTGGGCAGATCCTGCACCACTGCACACACACAGAATTCATGTGTCCTGCAGGTTCCCCCGCTCCCTCCCTGAAAAGATATTTCTGCCCAACAAGTGCTGCAATTCTGTTTTTGGCCCACCAGAGGCTGCTGTGGCACCCAGACAGGCGCAGCACAAAGGCAGCCTGCTGTTCTGGTGCCACAGCAGCCTCTGGTAGGCAAAAGGTGGAATTGCAGAATTCTGAGGCAAACTGGTGTTTTTGGGGAGTGGAGGGGGATTTTTGTGTGTTTCCAGTGGTGCGGAGCCTTCCATAGCCACAAGCGAGGTGCTAATAACTAGTTTCAAAAATGGGCCCTTATGCCTTATGCTAGCCAACAAAGATGAAGCTGTACTTCCCTGAGACTCCTTGCCCATCATTAAGCAAAGCTGCTTGAGAACCAGCAAAGACAGGGCATTTTTGTTGTCTCTACGGAAGAAACAGGCCCTAGCCTGATCAATCGCTGATACAAAGCAGATAAACTCCTAGCAGTGAGAACCATGCAGCTGCACTTCTGAGCCACGGCAGGAAGGAGCTACCAAGCCACTCTGAGCCTCAGGCAGCACCCAAACCACAGCCCCAGAGACCCTAAATCCATAGGGTACAGTCTCTCTGTCTCTGCCTTCTCTCTGCCATGTTGTTCACAGATTCCAAGGCCAAAAGGGACCGTTGTGAGTATCTTCTCTGATCTCCCATGTAACTATCACAATTTCCCCAAATTAATTCCTGTTTGATGTAGAGTAGATCTCTTAGATTTAGAAAAACATCCAATCCTGAGTTTAAAATGGCCAGAGATGGACAATCTTCCAGAGTCTTGGGTAAGTTGTTCCATTGGTTAATTACCCTCGCTCTTAAAAATACGAGTATTGTTTCCAGTCTGAATTTGTCTAGCTTTAACTCCTACCCATTGGATGGTGCTAGGCCTTTGTCTGCTAGCCCAGAGCCCATTAATAATTATTTGTTCCCCATATATCCCCAGCTACTTACAGATTTTGGTCAGGTCACTCCTCAACCGTTAGATAAATAAATTTTACTCCTGGAGTCTATCACTACACAGCAGGCTGTGGTTCTTCTCAAACCCTTTCAATGTACCAACCACCTTTTTGAAGGATGGGCAACAGGACTGGACACAGGATTCCAGCATCAGTCACACCAGGACCATATACAGAGGTGCAATAGCCTCTCTACTTCTACTCGAGGTTGCTCAGCCATGTTTGGTCATTGGCCATGGCCCCCCATAAGCCAGATAAGAGAGGAGGTTCCGAGATACTTCTATGTCAATAGCCATTGCTGTTGGCAATGGGATGACCCATGGGCGAACGTAGAGGTTGTGACCCCCCCTGCCAAAGCTGATGATGTGACTGTCCTGGGTTTTCACCACTGGGATCACTGGGAGGACCATGGGCTTGCAGCCAACGAGCCAACCCATACGAAACATTCTGGGGAGAAAGACCCCAGTGCAAGAGATCCCGGGGACGGTGCCTGACAAGTTCTTGCCATCTTGGGCAGGGAATTCTCTGCCTGGGAATGGTACCAAGACAAGGGGCACCACGTGCCCTAGGAGGGAGACCGGAGTGTGAGGCCCACGGGACCAGTGTTATACCTCCCCATGACAATGGCTCTGATTCTACCCAGGGACTCACCATCAAGGAGACCCCATTGCAGAGACTCCATCTTTGGGACAGGACAGGGTCCCTCGTGCCTTTGAAGCCAAAAGTCATTCTGTCTTGGGTCGTGTAGAATGGAGACAGCCTAGATGGTGAGATCTTTGGGGGACTATCTCCGTTCTGGGACTGTACAGCGCCTAGCACCACTGGGTCCTGCTCTATGGCTGGGTGACTGAAGCACTAACATAATACACTTAATCAATTATAACAACAGACGATATAGCTCTGGCTGTTGCCTGCTCCCTTCTGCTTTGCTGAAAACTCTCCTCCCACCCCCCCTCCCCCCGGCCCTATGTAATAGATGGGTTGATGGATCACAGAGGGGCACTCACACAGAATTGAACAGGTAGGCTCGGCCATGGCTCCCCTGGAAAGACTGCAGAGACAAAGGACAGGAATTATATCCCTCCCCTCCCCCCCAAACAACAGTCGTCCCCACCACCCACCTTCATTCACAGCCACGGGGAAGCTTCCAGCACCCAGGGCCTGGTTGGGCGCTGCCATGGGGAAGACGGGCAGTTGACAAGGCAGCGGCTGTGAGGAAGCTCACAGAGGTGGGATTGTTTGCTGGGCACTGACAGGGCACAGCCCTGCGGAAGCTCACAGTGGTAAGGCATGCCCATGGGGAAGCCCAGTGGCTGGCGCAGGCCCCCAGCAGGCAGGAGCAGTTGTACCTTGGAGATGAGCTCGTCATGCTTGGCCAGATGGGCCTGGCAGTGCACACAGCTGTAGGTGCGGTGGCAGTGCGGCAGGTAGCTGCGGAAGGTCTTGGTGGGCAGGCAGGCGGCGGGCGGCCCTGGCTCACAACTGGGCATGACGGGTTGAAGGGCGATACCCTGGCGGGGCGGGGGGGCAGGTGCTCTCCACCCCCCGCACAATCGGTCGCAGGTGAAGCAGCGAAGCAGGTTGGCTAGAGCCGTGTTTCAGGGTGGGAGGAGTTTGGGGGGGCTGCACAGCCAGGGCCCCCCCAGATGAGAACCAGGCCGAAAGGGGAGTCACCTGCACAGAATGAGAGAACAGGGCAGTAAATCAGGGGGGCTGCCCCTATGCCCAGCGCCCTCCTCCTGGGAGACTGGAGAGAGAGCACTCTTTGATGGAGAAGGGGAGACATCCCCCTCTTCTTCCCCCAGGGCCAGCTCTCTCCTCCCCCTCAACCAAGAAAGCGCCCCCACTGGAGCTAGAGAGGAAACGCACAGTATTGGGGATCCCATTCTATGGCTGGCAAACCCACGCCTCCGTGCTGGGCATGGCACCCCCTGCTGGGAATAAGGGATGGTCCTCCTGGGGTTGTTCATCTCCCATCTTTGTTACTGCCCAGAGGAGAGCACCCCCTGCTGGGACAGACCCATTTCCACCTCTCCCACCCTCCTGGGGGTCTCCTCTTCTTTCTTTGCTGCAGCCCAGAGACAGCGCCCCCTGCTGGTTGCTGCCCAGAACTGCCTTTGAAATGACCATGCCTGAGTTTGTCACCAGGCTAACCCAGATGGCTGAGACAGCCCCCAGCTCGCCCCTGGAGTGTCACGTTCATAAACTGGGGCAGCCCAGTGCCAGAGCCCCATGTGGCTACTCTCCTCATTCCCGCCCCGGGGAAACCATAAAGGAGGCAGGACCAGAGGGGGGCGGAGGTGGAAGGTGACCCCCTTTGAAATGACCATGCCTGAGTTTGTCACCAGGCTAACCCAGATGGCTGAGACAGCCCCCAGCTCGCCCCTGGAGTGTCACGTTCATAAACTGGGGCAGCCCAGTGCCAGAGCCCCATGTGGCTACTCTCCTCATTCCCGCCCCGGGGAAACCATAAAGGAGGCAGGACCAGAGGGGGGCGGAGGTGGAAGGTGACCCCTGGGAGCAGAGATGAGCTCCCGGGAGAAAGGAAACGGGAGAGGCTGTGGCGTGGGAAAGTTGCGAGTGGGATGGGCGCGTGGGGGGGGGGGGGCGGGGCGCCGGGCCCACGGGC